AATCTAGAGAGAACCATTTCATTCGAATATTCTGAATGACTTCATCGCGTATGAGCGGTCTTCGATATACAATCACGACACCGCGCACAGCCTATTCGGTATATACTATGTTTAGAGGCGAAAATGCATTGGTTATCCTTTATTTTGCTACTGGTCTGCATTATGACAGTTTCAGCAGATATGATAGGAGGAGGATTTTTTGCATCCGATCCTGGACCAGGCAGCATGGGTACGTTGACCGTGATTATGACTTCAACTGTAACCTTGAAGCTTATTCCAAAAGGGAGTTATCACCACAACTGCATGAATTTTTCAGGCACGACTACGCCTGAGCTGTGGCCTGCTCCCTTCGACCTAGGTTATCAAATCTTTTGTTTTATTTTGAAGTTGTGCAGATCTAATCTATCTTTATACAGGATGAAGAATGTAACTGTCGTCGATTGCTTCGGAATGGTTTTTGTTTCCTTTTTACAAACCTGTGATACATCAGCGTTCAAACGATTAAATTTTTGTTACTTCTGATATTGAGTGATACACGAAAATATTAGATAGAAAATTAGAGAGGGAACTCATTGTACCGATTCCTTGATTCTTCAAAAGCTTAGTTAACGATATTAATGGTTCTCAGATTTCTCCATAACGCATTGCGAAATTCCTTGGGATTTTTATAGTAACGGTATTGCAGGCTCTTAATCGATAAAGAAGAGAATATTGAATCAGAGACAAACCAACAAAGGTAGAAAAGGACTATGTTTCCAAAGGTAGGACTATCAAAATGGTCCGTTTGGCAGTGGGTCAGGATCCGGGGTAGCCATCGAAAGGAAGTTAATGGGCACGGCTTATCGAAATTATCGCGTTAGAAGAATGTCATGCAGAAGCTTCATTGCCATTCCTATCGTATGTAGAAAATTCGCTTCAATCCCGATCTCAACAGACCCTGCAGGGCCAAAAAATGCAGAAAGTCGCAGACCCACTTTAGTAACGACCGCAACCCTTCATCGTTTTCTCTAACCCAAAAATTTTTCACGATGAAGCCATCCCTCAACGACCAAAACGTTCGCGTTCCGGAAAGGAACATCTAGCGTGCAATCTTCCACAAAATGCAGCTGCCCGACTTCATTGGTGAAGGGTGATGGTAATCATATTTTCCAGAACTTGACACACTTGTCTCCCCCGTATGGTCCCTGATTATAAGAGGACTTGTCGAGTTTGCGGTCCTAGTTTGGAGCTTTAGAAAGCAAGACTGAAGAACGGCTGGGGAGAAATGGAGAAAGATACCTGCGTACCACAGGCGATCAGGTCCAGAGCAAATTTGGGCTTCTATCCGCTCTAATGGGGGCATTTTGGAGTGCAACTGTAGCATGTTGTAGCACATAGTGTTAGCCAGCGTGCATAGTAATTCCACCTCTTTCGCAGCTGAGAAGCTTCAAATGTATTGTTGAGGATAGGCGCCATGAATCTGGGACACCCTTTAAATTCAGTGGCTTGCCGTGGCCATCAAAAAAGTCAGTCGTCCTAGACGAGTCCAGTACCAACTAACCGATCACGAAGGGATGTAAGGCTTGGTTCACCTAAACGGATATCGTTCAGGGATTTGGACCGTGATCACGCCAAGAGGGATACAGTGCCAGTTGCCACTGCCGTATCTGGCACTGATTTTTTCGTAAAATAAGTTGTGTAACAATAGAATTGAACGTCGCTACAGCTACATAGATACATTTATCAGCATCTTCAAGAAGATAAAATGCTACTAATGCTAAATGCTGATATGTGAATCTTTTGAATCGAGCAACATGCCGCCCAGTTCCAATTTTGCATCAGAAAGAATTCGTTGAAGTCCGTATAAGTTAGCTGGGTTTGAATCGATCATATTCTCCTCCGTATAACACACTGGGATGCACACTTCTCCAAAAAGTTGCACTGGAGAGAGTTAGCTGCTAGCTGGAAATTAATGCTAACGCTGACAGGCAGCGCAGTTACGGTCAGAGCGCCATGGGGTAAAGAAGTGCAGGAGTGTGGATGAATACTTTACTTATTAGTAAATAAAATGTGGGACCAGTTCTGAATCGTGTGACCTTAAATAGGTACGAAAAACTGTTATTTATAACATGCATCGCGATCGCCTCTTCTAGAAAAGTATAAAAACGCATGCAAATGCAGTAACAAAGACGTACCGGAATCGTTCCTGAATTATGGTGATATTTATGTGCAGTGTATGAGCTCAGAATGAAAGCAAGACCAGCAGCATAACTTCAATTCCGTAGTCATGGTTTGTGGGTGGTTGAGTATGTAGTGTTGTAGCTCAGCCCAAAGCGGAACAAGTAATTCTCAGTGGTATCTTAGGGAGACGCGCATTAAGTTCACCCTCGATGGTGAAGTCATGCCCTATGTTTCGATGAATGCGCTAATGGGCAAATATTGTGGGAGAAAACAATGTAATCCTGCAACGACGACTTCGCATTGTATAACACGGACAATTTTTCAGATATTTCAAAAGGAACGATCGCGGTGTTTGCCGTTGTAACGCTCTTTTGGATGCAACAGTGCGCTCCTTTGAATTATTGTATTAATTTAATTGAATCTTTTGAGTTTGAATTATTACGAGTTCATGTCTATTTAAAGTGGCACATCTTGAAATTAGTCGCTCAGTTTAATTTCGTTGAGTAGGAAATTTCTCGACACCTTGAGTGCTCTCTTCTGTATTGCTACGCTGGACGGTAACTATCATCTGCCCAGACAGCCTTTTCCAGGCTCACCTTTCCTTTCACTTGATGTTTTCGATGAAATACGCCTACAAAATTCGAAAAAAATATGAGAAGACGGAAGTATACTCCCGCAATCAGTTCGAGAGTTGACGAAACTTCTTCTGCCGTTGGCGTGTCCCTCTTAGCATTCATATTGACAATCAACGGATCTTGTAGTTCAGTAAATCTGAGTTATGAAAGCAAAATATCGGTGTGTCTTGCACCCGAATTTTCACGACACGCGGCAAAGGCAATGGTGAAATTAGAGCCCAGCATGCCGTTTGGGAACAAATTCAATTCTGAAATGTGAATATTTGTATTTCAAGTGTCCGAGTCCATTCCACTGCGGAATTAATCCTGTCATATAATGCCTTTTGTCCTCGCGAAACAGACTATGATTTTACAGGAGTGGAGTCATTCACAGGGGACGAGCGGGACATACGTAGCGTTGAGTGCTTCTTTCTCCAGCCTGCTTATTTTGACTGTGAATTTACGAGTGAACGGAAAACGTCATACTTTTCGTTTCGTATCCATTCTGACAGAAAGAATCTTCAGAAAGAAGTATGAAAAAGGCAAGATTTGGGGAGATTTTCGAGCGAGTCTTTTTTAGAACGCTTCATACGTGCACTGTCTCACAAGCTTATATTTATGGTGATCGTTACTATATATAAAGCGCTCACTTTCGTCTGTCCGTTTGGTGCTCGTATCGAAATTCTATATCGAAGTCGGCTCAATCTTGGGTTATGTTGAACATAGCACAAACCCTACAGAGCTCATGTGAGCTCTGCGGAGCTCTGCCCCCAGGAGCGGGGCATGCGCGGCAGTGTGTGGTGTTTTGGGCAAAATATCTGTACTGGTTTTCATAACGCCAGGAAAGCATGAGCAAAACTTAGGCATGGGTCAACAAGTAAACCGAAGGAGACCTACCGGCGGTAGTCGGGGCCTTCTGGCACTTGACAGCACCAATTGTAAGCACATAAGATCATAACTCAATTCAAGCGGTCTGCAATGAAGTGGACGGGGCTATGAACAACCACTAATAATTCTGCTAGAATAAAATAAAGTATGTCGAGCGAATGCCCTTGAATAAGTCCCAGAGTCCGAATCTAGAGAGAACCATTTCATTCGAATATTCTGAAAGACTTCATCGCGTATGAGCGGTCTTCGATATACAATCACGACACCGCGAACAGCCTATTCGGTATATACTATGTTTAGAGGCGAAAATGCATTGGTTATCCTTTATGTTGCTACTGGTCTGCATTATGACAATTTCAGCAGATATGATAGGAGGAGGATATTTCGCATCCGATCCTGGACAAGGCAGCATGGGTACGTTGACCGTGATTATGACTTCAACTGTAACCTTGAAGCTTATTCCAAAAGGGAGTTATCACCACAACTGCATGAATTTTTCAGACACGACTACGCCTGAGCTGTGGCCTTTTCTCCGCGGTGGTTTCCCTTAAGTGATCGAAACCCCTTTGTTTTATTTCGAAGTTTATTTTGTGCGGATCTAATCTATTTTTATACAGGATGAAGAATGTAACGGTCTCGATCGCTGTGGAATGGTTTTTCTTTCCTTCTCACAGACCTGTGATACATCAGCGTTCAAACAATTAAACTTTTGTTACTCCTGATATTGAGTGATACACGAAAATATTAGGACCTGTGAAATTTGTGCAGGAAAGGCTGCTGCTGTGATCCGCGCAAAGCACGTCCCAGCGCCACTTGCAACTACACCACCTCCGTTTATAAGAGGGATAATACATAGACAAATAAACTACGAAAATTCAGAGCACTGATTTAGTCAGTCACGGTGCCAGCCTCTTATTAGAGTGAG